GAGCTAGAGTTCGGCGTTGCTCCAGTTAATCCCGGGGATGGTAGGGCTGATAGGAATTGGCGATATCATGGCAATTTTAATCGACACCGGAATAATGACGAGTTTAAACTAAAAGTGGATATCCCTACTTTTAGTGGAGAGCTGGATATAGAAGGTCTTCTAGATTGGATTACCGAGGTAGATCGTTTCTTTGAGTACATGGAAATCCCGGAAGAAAGAAGGGTGAAACTAGTAGCTTTTCGATTGAAGGGAGGAGCATCCGTCTGGTGGGAACGAATGAGGGAGACTTGGATTAGAGAAGGAAGAGGTCCAGTTCGAATATGGAGACGCATGAAACAGTTAATAAGAGGTAGGCTTTTGCCTCCTGATTACGAACAATACATGTTTGAATCGTATCAACGATGTGCGCAGGGAATGAGGAGTGTGAATGAGTACACCTTGGAGTTTCTGATACTGGCCGGGAGAAACCAATAGTCAGAAAGTAACAATCAACAAGCAGCTCGTTATTTGAGTGGTTTGAGGCCTGCTATTCGAGACAAGATTGGAGTCCAGATGGTTATGAGTGTACAGGAAGAGAGGAACTTAGCTTTGAAAGCTGAGCTGATGTCTCAAGAGAGGACCTGGGCTGATAATTATCGACGGTACAACGGGAATGAAAATAGGCAGGCCGCGGCTGATAAGGGCAAGCCAACTCAAGGGATGCAACCCCCCAACCCGCCTAATGTAGCTAACACCAATAAGGCTGCAACGGGAGGAAGCACTAGAGGTAACACTTCAAACCCTCGTAAAAACATTAATCCTTATGCAAGACCTGCTCCTTTTAAGTGTTTCAAGTGTAATGAGGTTGGACATAGGTCTAGTGATTGTCTCAGGAGGAAAGCAGTTAATGTGGTAGAAAGGGAGGAGGAAGAAGTTTGTGGGGATGAAGTGTATTATGGGCCCGATGGAGAGGATGAAGGAGATGTTTATGAACAAGAAGAGTACATGTGTGTTGTAAGGAAGCTTATGTTTTCTCAAAAAAATGGGGATGACACACAACGACACCGGCTGTTTCGCACCAGGTGTACGGTGCAAGGTCAACTGTTTGAATTGATTATTGATAATGGCAGCTAGGAAAACATTAGTGGCAGAGATGTGGTGAAGAAGTTGCAACTAATTCCTGAAAAACACCCGAACCCTTACACGATTGGTTGGATCAAGGAAGTTGGTGGCGTACGTGTGGAGGAACGCTGCAAGGTTCCATTCTCTATTGGTAAGTATACTGATGAGGTTTATTGTGATATCGTGGATATGGATGCTTGCCATATTTTGCTTGGTAGGCCTTGGCAATTTGATATAGATGCTAAACACTTGGGTAGGAAGAACACATACCAGCTTGAGAAAGAGGGTGTGCGCTATACATTGTTGCCTATGGCGGAAAAGAACCAAACCAAAGCTTCCAAAGTGAAGGGGAGGAATTTTCTTACCATAACGCATCGCCACTCTGAGTTTGTAAGGGAGTGTAAAGATACCCGCGAGGTCCACTTACTGGTTATAAAAGGGGAGAGTGTGAGTGAGCCACTAGGGGTGAACAAAATTCCAGTGGAAGTGCAGGGATTGCTCGACGAGTTTCATGATGTAGTTCCTGACGATTTACCTAATGAGCTTCCACCCATGCGAGATATTCAGCACCACATTGATTTTGTTTCTGGTGCTAGCCTACCTAATCTGCTACCACACTATAGGATGAGTCCTAAGGAGAAGGAGATCTTACGGGAGAAGGTAAAGGAGCTGTTGAGAAATGGCACATTCAAGTTAGCATGAGTCCTTGTGCGGTGCCGGCATTATTGACACTAAAGAAAGATGGGAGTTGGAGGATGTGTGTTGACAGCAGAGCAATCAACAAAATCACTATTGGCTACAAGTTTCCCATTCCTAGACTGGATGACATGCTTGATCAACTTGATGGGGCTGTGGTCTTTACCAAGATTGATCTCAGAAGTGGTTATCATTAGATCAGAATCCGTCCCGAAGACGAATGGAAGACACCTTTCAAGACGAGGGATGGGTTGTTTGAGTGGTTAGTCATGCCTTTTGGACTAACCAATGCACCAAGCACCTTCATGAGACTGATGAATCAGGTACTACGTCCTTTCATTGGTAAATTTATTATGGTGTATTTTGATGATATTTTGATTTATAGTAAATCTGTTGATGAGCACATGGGACATATCCGAGGGGTATTGAGTGCGTTGAGAGAAAATAAACTATATGCTAATTTGAAAAAATGTACTTTTATGAGTGATAGCTTATTGTTCTTGGGTTTCATTGTAAGTAAGGATGTGATTAAAGTAGATGACGAGAAAGTGCGAGCCATTAGAGAGTGGCCAACTCCAAAGAATGTGAGTGATGTGAGGCATTTCCATGGGCTAGAAATTTTCTACAGGCGGTTTATTAGACACTTTAGTAGTATAGTAGCTCTTATTACTGAGTGTTTGAAGAAAGGTAAGTTCCAGTGGGGAGATAAACAAGAGCAAAGTTTTGCTCTAATAAATGAGAAGTTATGTACCGCTCCTATCTTAGCTTTGCCAAGCTTTGACAAGTTATTTGAGGTTGAGTGTGATGCTAGTGGAGTGGGCATAGGGGCTGCATTATCACAAGAGAAGAGACCAATTGCTTTTTTTAGTGAGAAGTTATGTGAGGCTAGAAAGAAGTGGTCTACTTATGATAAAGAGTTTTATGCTGTTGTGAGGGCATTGAAGACATGGGAACACTATTTGATTGCTAAAGAATTTGTCCTTTACACCGATCATCAAGCCCTTAAGTATCTAAGTAATAAAAAACATTTGAGGAGTGATCTGCATGCTAGGGGGTCTGTTTTTGTTGATAAATTCCCATACAAGATTGTGTATAAGATAGAACAGCAGAATACGGTGGCGGATCCCTCAAGATGAAGACTTCAAGTAGGTGTGGGAGAAGTGCATGTCCAAGCAACCAGTGGGTATGGGTTTCTTATGAAGGGAGACCAATTGTGTACTCCTTGCACATCCCTTCGCGAGAAAGTCATTAGGGATTTGCATGGTAGCAGCTTAGCAGGACACCTTGGAAGGGACAAGACGATTGAGGCTGTCAAGGGGCGTTACTACTGGCCCAGGTTGAGGAGAGATGTGGCTACTATCATGAGTAGGTGTTATATATGTCAGACAGTTAAGGGGCAGGCTCAGAATACTGGTCTTTACATGCCTCTACCAGTTCCTACTACTATCTAGGAAGATTTGTCTATGGATTTCGTCTTGGGTTTGCCAAAAACTCCACGAAACATGGACTCCGTGTTTGTGGTTGTTGACAAGTTTTCCAAGATGGCGCACTTCCTTCCATGCAAAAAGACTGCGGATGCAACAACAACAACCAAACTATTCTTCAGGGAGGTTGTCCGTTTGTATGGGGTGCCTAAAACTATTACGTCAGACAGAGATATGAGGTTCCTGAGTCACTTCTGAATGACTTTGTGGAGGCTATTTGACTCGTCGTTGAATTTCAGCAGTATAGCTCATTCGCAGACTAATGGACAGACAGAAGTGGTGAATCGAACTCTGGGTAACCTGATTCGTAATATTTGTAGAGAGAGGCCTTAGTAGTGGGACTTTGCTGTAGCTCAAGCCAAGTTTGCCTACAACAATGCAATTCATAGCTCTACAAGTAGATCACCCTTTTCTATTGTTTATATGAAAGCACCTAACCATGCCTTGGATTTGGTGAAGCTACCCAGGGTACCAGGCTTTAGTACTACAACTGAGCAGTTCGTAGGTCAGATTCAGTCAGTACAAGAGGAAGTAAAGCAGAAACTTCAAAGAGCCAATGAAAAGTATAAACTTGCAGCTGACAAGCATCGAAAGTACAAGGTGTTCGAAGTTGGTGATGAAATCTTGGTGTTCTTAAGGAAGGAGCGCATACCTGTTGGGAAGCATAGCAAGATACATCGTAGGAAATATGGCCCGTATAAGATTATTAAGAAGATCAATGACAATGCTTACGTAGTGGACTTGCCAGATCACATGGGTATTTCCAAAATGTTTAATGTTGCTGATCTTCATTGTTATTTTCCTGAGGTGACGCTTGCATATCCTGATCATGACTCGAGGTCGAGTTCTTTCCAAGTGGGGGTGAATGATGGAGTGCCAGCTCGTGACCAATCGGCGCCACCAGTTCCGTCTTAGGGAGGAGTTCCTATGCTAGAGGAATCCTTGTGATATCCAACATCGGATGATGGGCATCGAAAGTTATTTACTTATTATCGAAGACTATTATTTTACTTATTTTACAATTTGTCCTAGACCCATTATAAATACCTCTTATGTTTTGAGTTTTAAACAACAACAATAATATTTTCGTTATTCGTTCTACTGTTCTATTGCGTCGTATTTGAGTATTCTTCGTGAGTGAGGTCGGTCTCTCGACTGACATTCGACCGAAGGATTTGCTTGTGCAACCATCGCTATTCGAGCAAACTCACGCTGTGCCATTCTTTCAGCCGACAACTTCTCAAATCTCTCATTCAAACCTTATTTTCTCTTATATTTATATGCATCTTACCCTAATATCAATCTAATGGGTAAGATGGTCAAATTGTTCAAAACGTTTGAGCTGAACGATCGAATCACTGACCCAGAAACCAGTGGCTAGAACGGTTCTATTTCTGGGTCGGTATTTTAAACCTTGCCAAATGAACTTAAAGCTGGTCAATTTCTTAAAAATCATCTTACATGGCAGAAATGATGCCAAATAACAAAATTTATCAATTTTTGAAAAAAAAACACTGATTTCAGAAATCATCGATTTTTGAAAAATCTGTAAAGAAAAATCAACATGGATGCCAAACATCACACTAAGACGTATGTTTTTGTGATTACGTAAAACTACAGGACGTGTCCGTAATTCCATATATGAGCCTATTATAATTTGCAACTTATAATTAGTACGTCGCTGGTGTGGTGGATATTTATTAAAATAAGAATGGGAATATTGTAGATAACCTTACCGCAAGGATCATCTGTTCATTATACGGTTCTCTCAAATTAACAGTCCAATAGTCCGATGATGAATCACCGGACTTCTATTCTACATCTTGGAAGCTACTTTATTCTACATCTTGCAACCTCTATAAAACTATTGGATCTGCCGACAAAGAACAACAAACAATGCAATTGGAGAGTAGGTGTTAAATAAAAAAAAAAAAAAAAAGCTATAGATGGAATAAGATGATGAATCATACATACCAATAAAATTAATGCACAGCTGTTAGATCCATGGTGCAGCATGTAGAGAGAATAGAGAGGAGTCCTCGCATGCCGATGAAGAATCCATAAATTTGCACAATAATGCATTTTCCTTTTTGTTACTTCATAAGAAGGGGAGGGATGAGATGAACAGTGGGAATATGAGAAATCTTGGGCCAGTCTTCCCCTCCCTCTCGCAACCGATTCTTTAGTTCTCGGGGACAATTATCAATATTCAAACAACGAAGGCTGATGGGCAGCTTCTCCTCCAAAAGGGGTTTCATACAATTGGACCACCATATGCTCAATTCTTGTAGAGAGTTGAGCTTGTGGAGACCCTTGGGCAAAGACGTCAGATTGGGACATTCACGGAGTTTCAATTGTCGAAGAGAGGCAAGATCTTGAAAGTCTGGCAATGACTGAAGCATAGTACACTCTTGAATGTGTAAAGACAGAAGGGATGTAAGTCCTTGCAACTCTGGCAATAATTGAAGCATAGGACACTTGTTAATTTCCAAATGCCGAAGGGATGCAAGATCTTGTAATTCTTGTATTGATTGAAGCATACGGCACTCAGAGATATGCAAGTTTTGAAGAGATGTGAGACCTTGCAACTTTGGAAATGAGTGAAGCATAGGACACACTGAGATTTTCAAATGCTGAACAGATGTAAGACCTTGCAACTCTGGCAAGGTTTGAAGGATGGAACAGTTGTTGATTTCCAAATGTTGAAGGGGTGCAAGACAGTGTAACTGTGGCAGTGATCCAAGCATATAACAATCATAGATTTGCAAGAACTGAAGGGATGTGAGACCCTGTAAGTTGGGCAACGATTGAAGCATAGGGCACCTGTAGATTTTCAAATATTGAAGGGATACAAGACCTTCTAACTTCGGTACTGATTGAAGCATAGGACACTCGAAGATTACCAAGTACTTGAGTTTCTGTGCAAAGGATTGAAGCATCTCTGAGGGCATGGATGTCATGTTTGGAAAATTACCAATATTCAAGTTGGACAAGGAAGGGCATTCATGTGTCCAATTCAATATCTTCTCATCACAATTGCTTACTTCTAGTGCAGAAGCTGATGGAAGCCTTGGAAGAGAACTCAACATTTCACACCTCTCAATTTCTATTTCTTTCACGATAAGAAGCAGAGGGGGCAATTTTGTCAATTTGGGACAAGAGTGCAAGGTAAGCTTCTTGAGTTGAGGAAATTCTCCTTCCTCTGTTCCCCACCATTCTTTCAAACCACTCATGTCCCAGAGATTTAAAATCTCCAACATTTGAAATCCCTTATTGTAGTTATTGTTGTCACTGCTGCACCCATAAAATTCCCTACTCATATATTCCACTTCTTTTATGCCCACTATATGCAATCTTTTTAGTACAGGAAGATTCCCTAAAGGAGGGAGGAACTTGCAGTTGCTGCAATTCCATAGTTCTACACTTATCAACATATCATAGCATGCGAGTCCACTCATCATCCACTGTGGAAAACATATGCCACCATAATTCCATATTTGGAGTGCCTTCAACCCAGTATAAGGTTGTAGGCCCTCTAGTATACCCTCCACTCCACCTCTTTCACCATTGCTATGGCTCCATTCCAACATCAACTCATCAATTTGATGCTTATTGAAGAGGTTAGCCTCCTTGGCCTGCTCAGAGTCAACTACATTCTCTAGCCCTGAAATAAAAATAGATCCTTGGAGATGACATAACTCTTTTAGCTCTCCTATTGTACTATTATTACCATTGATCTTTCTCACCCGAAACTTAGGCAGTGTCTTCAAAAAACGTAATTTCCCTATGCCTCTTATTAGATTGAATTTTCGCCACATTTCATTATCATACATCTCTATGTGTTGGAGGTTGATTAGGCTTCCCATGTTTTTGGGAAACCCATTAATCTTACAATCTTTAAGCATCAAAGTTTGCAAATTGTAGAGGTTGCAAAGGGACTCAGGGAATACCTTAATGCCAGTTTCGTTAAGGTTAAGCAACCGCAGGTGTTTCAATTTGCCAATTGAATCTGGCAAAACACGAAATCTATAATATTTTCCACTCATATCCAACACACGGAGGCATCGGTATGGTTCAAAAAAGTCATGAGGGAGATGCAGACCAGAATATGATGATTTGGACAATACTAATGTTGACGAATCCTTGTATTTATATAATTCAGCCACCATAAAGTCCAATTGGGCAGCGATCATTGACACATAGCGAACCTCTTCTGGGATGCTGCAGCTGTTATTTGGTTTTCCTTTCTCCACTCTAAGATACATGTCCTTCGAAACTGACTCGGCTAAATCATGCATCAAATCATGCATCACGATTTCTTCTTCATACTTTTGGAAAAATGACCTATTCAACAATTCATCAAAGTATTGTCCACCAAGGTCTTCCATTGTATCAATTTCTTTGGATGAAATAAAACCTTCTGCCATCCAAAGTCGAACTAGAGTTTTCTTGTCAAATTTATGCTCTTTAGGAAACAGAGAGCAGTATGCAAAGCATAATTTTAAATGTGCAGGTAGGTGATAATAACTTAGACGTAGAGTTGACATTATTGTGTCATCTCCAACTTCCCACATCTCACTTTCTAAGACAAATTTCCACTTTTTTACATCGAGATCACCATAGAGAAGTCCTCCAAGTGATTTTATTGCTAGAGGCAGTCCTTTGCATTTTTCAACAATTTTTCCCCCAATTTTTTTTAGGTTTGGGTGTGCATTACATATCTCATCATCAACAAAAGCCTTCCTTTTGAACAACTCCCAGCCAAGTTCATATGGCAAGCCTTCTAAATCAAATTTTCTCATGGCACTCATAATGGAGGAAATTTTGTTAAGCCGTGTGGTCACTATTATTCTACTTCCTTTCCCTGCTGCAGCATTTATTGGAACCCTTACAGCATCCCATGTTTTGGGATCATCGTTCCATATATCATCCAATACAAGCAAAAATTTCTTCCCCTGCAAACTATTTTTGAGTTTGCTTTGAAGTGGCTCCAATTTATTCATATCCTGTTGTTTCTCACAAGTAATTGACTCAAGAATTGCTCTGGTTATTTGTATAACATCATAATCTTCAGACACACAAACCCATGCTCTCACTTCAAAATGGTTAACTACATTTCCATCGTTGTAAATGAGTTGAGCCAGCATGGTCTTTCCGATCCCCCCTATACCAACTATTGAAACAACCGGAGCTCCTTTCCCATTATACTCATCAGATAATAACAAGTTTATTATGCCATCTGCATCTTCCCTCCTACCAAGGATTGTTTCAGAATCGTTAAGTAAGGAAACACTCTGAGGGCGTGAATCTAATAATGAAATAGTTTTGAGTTTCCTTTCCATTGTATTGAGATTCCTTCCAAGAGAAGAGACCGAAGTAACATAATTGTGGTTCATCTTTTGTTGCATCTCATGAAGTTCATTTATTATGCCAGTTATGACAGTCGGAATCTCAAGGCCATACAATATTTGCTTCTCGTTGAAAGAAAAGGAGAAGTATTGGCGTACCTTTACGCTAGCTCTCGAGGAGCTCTCTTTACTTTCATCATCGTCATCCTGCTCCTCCTCCAAACTTTGTCGTTGAGCTTCGTAGATGAACTCATCCAAAGTGTAGGTGGCTCTGTAAACAACTTCTCTCATATCACGGAGCAGAATTTTCAAGAGTGGATCACTTGCTTGCATATCCTCTGTAGAACTAGTCATTACGTATGCCAATTTGAGTGTTTTAAAGAGGTTTCTCAATTCTTTCTTAACGCCCCATTCAGATCCAAATTTGAGCATCCAATTAGAGACCAATTTGTTGAGCAACGCCTGAATCAACGGAGATACCACTACATCTTCGGTTGTTGTTGCCATATCTTAGATTGCCTGTAAATTAGGAAGGTGGAATAACGAAATGGAGCATGTAATTGAAACTTGAAACTTGAAAGGATCATCTCACCTAAAACTTTGGAGTCCTCCCCCAACAGAAAATGCTCTAATTAACATCTTCCGATATAATCTCTGTCCGCACATCTCATCAGGTCACACAGTCTTATGGTGAGATGGGCGGACATAGATCTGATAGATCATGGCGGAAAGTGTTAGAAACTGTTTGTTTTTGTTTTGGTTTTTTTTCTTTTTCCTTTTTATTTTTGTTGGAAGAAGATCCGAACTTGAACTTAATTTCGGACAATTTTTTAGTCATATTCGGCATCGACCTTTACTTAGAAATGATTGGGCAAGTGGGCAACTCCAGGACCCACAATGTGTAGTGCGTTTCGGTGAGCTTCCCCACTCACACCACACATTTCAAATCCCTGACAGAAAATAAAAAACTGTGGGCGTCGGAGTGAGATAATCAGAAGAATTTTTTCAAAGTGTACCTAGATTAAAGGCCTGTTTGCTTCCTCTTATATTTCTTTCTTAAAGACTAATCTTACATTTTTTTTTGTTTTTTAATGATACCTCTAAAACGCAAACACTTCTCCTTCCTTATAATTCAAGGGCTTTATATGCAATAATTATTATCGTATTATTATAATAATTATTTTTATAATTAAAATTTAATTAATGATTAATAATTAGTATTTATTAATAATTAATTAATATTTATTAATTGTTATAATCATTATTATTAAATATTAATTAATTATTAATCATTATAATAATTTTTCATATTATTTTTTATTGAATTACAATAGACAAACAAAAATTTTCACATATGGGGTCAAAATGGACATTTTAGAATTCAAAATTCAGAATTTAGAATAACATTCTCTACATTCAAAATTCACAAGAAAAAAAATGTCACCAATACCAATATACCTCTTGATGTAATTGTTGCACTTTCAAATGCTAGATGTCAGAGCAACACCCTCTAAAGGCTAAACTTTTGGGATAATAAATGATATTTGCTTGCCCAAAATTATTGGAACGTGCTTAATGTGAATCCCATTTGCTCCGAATTTGGCTTCGGTAAGTGCAAGTCCATGCTCGCACTGTTTGAACAACCTCCTGCAGCCTTGCATTGAGAATATCTCTCCCCATGAAATAAAGCACATAAGTACGGAGATATTCTCAATTAATGTTGTAAAGGCTGTTGGAACGGACGTTGCACTGATTGAAGCCGATCTCATTTGCTCCTCACTTCAACCACACATCCCACCGTGCATTGAGGACATCACAAAACATCTCCCTATGAATAACAATATACAACTATAGAAAATACTCTCAATGAGCCGCTATGATGTTGGTATGAAGAGCTCCATGTGAGGAGCAGATATGCAATTGCATAATGATACTTTTCAATAATTTTTAAGTAGGACATGTGGGGGTTCATTATATCGACGTATCTATTAGTATATATTAAAACAAAGATGGCTCTCCTTTCTCCTTTCTCTCTTTACCTAATCGAGGCTTTCCTTGATTCCTTTTTTCTTCTCAAAATACCATTCCTTACACTTTCATTCTTCTACCTTAGTACTCTGGTTTTTCTAAAATCTCTCTCTCTCTCTCTCTCTCTCTCTCTTTATATATATCCACACACACACTCCGAATCAACTAAATCATCCCCTCTCCTAAAATTTCCTAAATTATCTTCCCACCTAAAACTTACTCCTAAAACATCTCTTAATCTTGTCTCTTCCCTCTTCCTATATCTCTCTATTTATTTCTATCTTTATATCTATCCTTTTTGCATATACATACATTTAATTTTTCATCAATGTATTAAAATATTAATATTAAGTTAAAACATTTTTTTTGCAAATAGTTTAAGTTAAAACTTAAATATTGAAATAAGATTAGTAAAAAATATCTAAAATAATAATAAGAGGAAAAATAGATAATGCAATAAGACAAATAATAAAAGTAAAGTAAAAATTTAATAATTAATAAAAAAGTCTTATTATAATGAAATAATGCGATTACAAAATTCAATATCATTAATTAATTAAGTAGATTGAAGTACTCTTAAATAATTATTGTTATTCATCAAATACTTAATTAACTATAGTTAATTAATTAAGTAGAGTTGATATTAATTATGGTCAATTTATTAATGTTAAAAAATACTCTTAGTAATTGATAAGTAATTATAGTTAATTAACTATCAAACTTTTCAAAAAAATTAATTTAATACTAGATTATCAAATTTAATGAACTATTTAAATTATAATTTTTGTTATTTTAATTACTATAAAATTATTTTAATTTTATAGTAATTAAAATAACAGTACTTATAATTAAGTTATTATTGATAATTATTTAAATTATTAAGTATAAATATGATTAATTATTATAGTAATTATTATAAAAAATTATCATAACTTCTCTAAATTATGTTACTTAATTAGTTACCAAGCTATTTAAAAAATAATTTAATAGTAAATTACCATATTTAATGAATTATTTAAGTAAAATATCAGTAATTAAAATAACAGTAATTATTGTTAGATTAGTGAATTTACCATAATTTTGTTAAGTAAAATGATTAAGTGAATATTTGAATTATTTAATTAAAATATCACAGTAATTAAAATAATTTTAAATTTTTGTTACTTAATTAGGTAATATAATTTCAAAATAATTAAAATAACTGTAATTATGCTCAACCCAGGTCTAACCCTTAGAAGTGGGCTTAAGGCCCAACCCGAGGTCAAGCCGAATCTGTCCAACCTGAGCCCAATCCACACTAAAATTTGATGCACTCAGGTTGGGCTCGGGCTTGGGTTAATCAACCCTAGTAAAATTAAATGAAAATATAAGACTGTGCCAATTTAGGCATTTCATTTGGACTTTAGATTAATTAAATTTTATATTACATATATAAAGAGTCCATTTGGGAGGGATTCTACGCTGACTAAGCAATGTTGGTAGAGCCATTTCTAAGAAGTTACCTATGAGCTACGATAGCTTCAATGGAAAGTCAATTTTTGGGTCCATGTAAGCCTCTCAGTCTCTCACTGTATGAAAGCCCTCCCAAATGGGTATAGAGGCCACTGTGAGTGGTTTTGTTTTTTAAAATAAAAACAAATATGATAAAATGTATCGCTTTGGCTAACATGGCAGTTTTTTTCCGTTTTAGAAAACAAAGCCATACACATTCATGAACATCGCTCCTTCAATTTATTATATCTTTTCTTATTTTAGGGTCTCAAAGCTTAATGCCAGTTAGTCCCTTTGATCTTTTAAGTTGGTAGCAGCCGCTTGCAATGAACCTAGTATTGATAAAGATTAAAAACTTTGTAACCAATTGGTGATGGTGCTTTTGTTATAGAGGTCAGGTGCTGCATGCTAAATCTAATTAGTGGGATTAGTAACAGGTTGTACATGAGACCTAAGACACTATATTGAGAGTCCGCTTTGCATGGTTTGAACTCGCACCTCCTCAATTCATGTTTGATGTATAGAGATTTAGTTGAAATTTGCCAAATTACTGGTATTGAATTGATCGAATTAGTGGGATTAGTGACAAGATGCACACGAGGTATACTAGTACACAATTTGGAGAGCCTGCCTTGTATGGTTTGAACTCGGACCTCATTGATATAAGGGATGTCTTATGTCCAACTTCACAATGGTGGATTGGCAAATTTTGAAGTCAATTGAACCCCCTATATCAAATAATAACTGAACCGAGACCAAGACAGGGAATGGACTCTGTATTCATGTGTATTTGTAATATGTTAACAGGACCCCTTTACGTATATCCAATTCTCTTTCTCAGGCCTATTACCTTGAAAGATTGATTGGTAAGATTTCAGGAAAATGTTTTGATTTTATAATTTTTTTTCCTTTTTAATTGAAATAAATAATCATATCTCAAGAACAGAGATGAGGAGGAAGAGTTCGGTGGGATAGAATAAGTAAAAGTAAAAGGGAATTTTTATCTACTTTACTCACATTATGCTGTTTAAGTTCATCGTCTGTCTTCACCTCCTCATACGTCACACTATTCTTGGTCGGGTGTAAATCCAATTTACTTTTTATAAGGCTCGTTAGCTTTTCGGTAAGTTATTCATTTTCTAGGAGATAAGTGATACCCAAAAAAATAAATTTTTTTTGATCCCGCATAAATCTGAAAAAAGAACATAAATTTCTTGATCAATAAAAACCAAAATCCCATTAACCAACTTTTCCCTCTCCCAAATTTCAAAAACAGAATGCCCCATGAAAAAGAACAAATAGGTGATCAACCCAGATGCTTAGTTATTACGGAGATTTTGGCATCTATAATGAAACCAGTCAGATATGACGTGAGTTGTGTTTGGGTTTTGGGTTACTTGTGATTATGGTCTGATATGGCCAAATTAAAGGCCAGAAAATCAAATTAAGCAGATAATACAGAAACTCATTCTCTGAATGGGCCACATGTGAAATTGGGATTTGGGACTACTAAGAAGGTACATCATCAAAAACTTTATAAAATAAAATTTGATCAGTATAAATTGTTGGCTTACAAATGTCACATAGGAGAGGTTGTCTCTCTTGGGATATTTGAAGCCTACTCCCTGAAGCGAATGGCTGCCCAATTACTATCTCAATGGCTACCGTAAATTTTGTTTGGCCCATTTATCCTTTCTTAATATCATTAATAACTGGCAGGCAAACGCATATAAATTGATGGGCTTGAATAGAAATTTGGTTAAATTTGGATTGGTAAATTTAGGCTATGACATCAATTTGGTTATAAGTCGAGATCCATGTTTAAGGTTGGTCTAGGGTTGTAGGAAGTAAGGGATTTAATGGGGGGAGGGGAGATGTTACAAACATTGGTTATTAGAGAGAGAGAGAGAATTAATAATGATCTTATTAAAAAAGAGTAATGTGATTTTAATAGAGAAAATTAAGACATAAGAGGGTTTTAATGAGGAGACATGTTTGTACACTGAGATTTATCAGACTTTATGATAGGAGATTAAGAAAATTTAAAAATTTTATTTTTATTTTGGTAAGTTCTTTATTTTTAATATTCCACATTTGTTAAAGAGAAATGGGAAGACT